TTACTGCAGAACAAAGTGGTGTGTAATTGGCTAAGTATGGCTCCTGCTGTGACAGCAGGAGAGGAGGGCCGCAGAGAGTGGGAGTGTTTGAGTCAGTGTTTATGTGATTCACACAGCCGGGGCAGTGAAGGCTTGACCCTTCACACACCTCCCCAACACAGCGGAAATTAATTCTTCCTATTTTCAGCCTTGTCTTCTTCCCTGCTTTCCACTCTTATTGGTTTGTTTCAAAGATATGTACCGTAAATATGAAGTAAGTATAGTGGTAAAAGCAGAAGTATACCAGACGGGACGTTTACCTGAGTGGATTTGTGCCCAGCGGAGCTGATCTACACGTGCACAGTGTTTTTTTACAGCGTTGTAGACTTTGGTCAAATGGCTTTACTGAAGGCTGGTGTAAAGGCTGTCTCAATAATGGTGCAGCAGAAAGGAAAACATGAAATAACACATAGGAATTCAAGCCTGGAGTTACTCTCCCCATGGGAGGTGGTCAGATTCAACGTTTGGGTCGGAGCCAGGAACACTAAAACAAAAAAGGGGGAACAGCATCAGTGCTTTTTAAAATTCCTGTTTCTCTGTCGAAGGGATCATTTGAATGGCAGAAATCCAGTCCTTTAGCCAAACCTGTTACAAAGCTTGCAGTCAAGAAATATTCCTGTAATCCAGAAATGAATGAACGCGGACAGATTTTGTGTTTAGCAGCACGGAGTTTTTTGTTTTGCGACTACCAGCTCTTCTTCTGGGACCCGGCAGGGAGAAATGAAAACAAAAAAATCTTTTTGTCAGGTTCAAAGAACACCAACAAACTCTGGCTGCTCTGACCAACCCATGAACAGTCCTGCGCACAGTAGGTTATCCTGCGCATCACATACTGTTGTACTTCAGTCATCCTCGTCCATTTGCCTAAATGTCACAGACAACTACAGGTAAAGAAGTTCTTTAAGGTTGAAAAGATTTTTCTACTTGGCTCATATGCACAAATGTGGCAGAAGATATCATTTCTGATGCCTTTGAAACGTCTTCCGGGTTTGAAATTTATAACTGAGTTGTAAATGCTTCCAGAAATACTTCAAAATAAAAGCAGTCTAAATCATTTAATATGAATTGAGTGACATATTCATCATTTATCATAATGTCTCCATGTGTTTGGTGTGAGTAACTCTGTTCTTGCTCGTCAAATATAGAAGATGGACATCATGAAAGTTATGAACATGTCAAACACCACTTTGATTGCAACTTTTTTATATGAAGTACATTTTTTAGGATAAAATAAAGCCACTTTATAAGATTATACTCTTTGTATACTTTTATTTTGCCCTTAAAGTGAAAAAGAAAGGTAACTGTCACTTCAGTGGCATTTTTGAGGGTAACAGCTTTTTTGACAATCCAGCTACGTGAGCTGTGATCTTAATTATACCACTCTAAGTTGTTATTTTTCTGAAAAAGCTTATGATTAAGACCTGATTTTCCTTGTATCAACCATCTTATTGGGGAGAAATGATGGCAGAGGAAAGAAGGGAAAGGATCTAGGGAGATTTCCCCCTTCCCCACTAGGAGTGAAAAAACAGGCAAAAAAGACCTGGCACGCAGAAAGAAGAAAGAAAAAAATTTGAAGCAGGTGAAAGAGAAGATGGTCACATTTAATGACTGACAATAAGTGGGAAGATGGAAGGAAGGAAAACAGCAGGGGAGAAGAGGGTGGACATCAGAAAGAGGGAGGGGGGATGACACAGTCATGGGAACCCATGTTTGGTCCCCGCTCCAGACCCTGCAGTTGTTAGCCTCATCAGGGCTGTTTTGTTTTCACATAGCCTTTAACCTTGTTGTGCGGGCCGCAAGCAGATGTTAATGGCGTTTCTCACTGCAGTTTCTGCTCAGAGTCATCACTTCTAAATGCTGTGAGCTGCAGAACTAACTGAATCCTGGAAAACCCGGTGATTCAAAAACAGAAAGGTTGACTGGAATACACGTTTCAAAACATAATTCAATATTAATGGAGTGGATGAAATGAATTATTTTTCTGCGACCTTTTGCGGAAAAGTTGTAGTAAAACCTGCACACCAACCAGTTCCCACACATCTGTGTAAAATTCTCAGCTGAAAGGCAATGTGGAAACAGGTGGGGATACATTCCACTTAGCCTGACTACCGGCAGGGTGACCCCACAAAATACATAGTTAACAGCTCTGAAATAGTCCGGGGAATTAAAATTATAGACAGGTGAAAAAGAGAGAAAGGCTTGGGAATGTCTGGGGTTATTACAAAGACAACTGTTGGCACGGAGCGCACAACCTGCAGTAAGCATGATGAAAAGGATCTTTTCGCACCCTAAGCAAGGTCCAAAAATAGAATGAACCATAGCGACCCTAAACTGGTGTTAATATCAGGTCTCTTGCTTGAAAGCTTTTTACCTCCTCCACCTACCGGCCTTGCTAGCTTTCTTATACAGGCACCAGGGCTTTTTTTTTCATGTTAGAAATAAACACCAGTGTCTAATCAGAGCAGCCTATGACGGGTTGTTGGGATGATGGAAGTGCTTTTTCTGGGATGACCATTATGCACAAGCTTAAAAATGCCTTTTTCTTATTTACTGATGCAAATCTCTTTCTCTGTGTGTAAACATATTTTTTTCAAATATGTCCCTACTCCATTTCCTTTAAATCAACTGGTATGATGAACACAAAGCATGTATGTATACGTAAGTATGTATTTGACATTACACAGGACAGTGCTGGATCCAGCCATCCATTGACTATACTGCTTAGTCCTTGTAGGATCACAGAGAAAAGAGGATGCCGGAGAAAAAAAAAGAAGTGTTGCAGACTTTTCTGATTTTTCTCTATACACAACATACAATGACTTATGACTTGTTTGTGTGTGTGTGCAGTGCTGGGGCGGCTCACAGCATGAGGCCTCCAGCAGCCGTCTGTTCTCACAGCCCACGGAACGACTCTTTGACAGGGATCGTGAGAACCTGAGTGGCAGGGGTCCTCGTGGTGAAAAAAAAAAATAGTAAAAATGGGGGGAAAAAGAAAAAGAAGTAAAACAGCTGTATTCACTGATGTAAAAAATACAAGATCTCATAAATATCTTTCATTTGACAAATCTCCTGCAGCCAAAATGAACCCATCACTTGACCCTAACCCTTAATGACTATGAGCCCATTGGCATTTTTAATTTTGAAAGAAAAATTAGATAAAGTGACTATGTTTTTAGCAAAAAGTCATTCCCTCCTAACAACATTCTCAGTCAAATGATTTTTGAGCTCCTCCATAAATGACATGTGAACTATCCAGCTCTTCAAGCAGGGCAGCTAAATTTCTCTCAAGTTCTCGCTCCTGCCTTCTCTCTCTTCTTCCTGTTCATCAAAAAAAACCCGGTACGCTGTCTTTCTTCTCCTCGCCATGCTTTCCGAACTGAAACTTCCTCATAGTGTCAGTGCCCGTGCTATTATTTATAGGCTGGTGAATGGAGTGAGACAACATGAGACGCAGAGCTTGGCCTTTAACCCCCCACTGTCTGCTACCCTTAAATCACCACAGAGTCTGGCTTACTTTCTCATCCGTGGAGTTCATGATGTTTGTGTGTGTGAGGGTGTGAGAGACAAAAAGGCTGTGTGACAGATGCTGCCAGGGGAAATAAAACATTGTTGCTGCGTCTTAAAAACACCTCAGCTTCACAGATAAAGAGAAGATGATGGTAACTAAATTCATAGTTCAACTGATATTGTCTTAAATGGAAATGAAAGTAAAGTTAGAAAAGATGTTGAAAAATGTAATAATTCCATAATATCAACATTTGTCAAAGTATTAATGAGTGGAAAAGATGAGCATGTGCCAATGTGCACAGAAAATATGTTCATGTGATGTTTACGAGCTTCAAAAGTGCAGTAATTGTGCAATTATTGAGTTGAAAGATTCCATAAAATTCCATAAACCTCAAGGCCGGGCATGTTCCAGCCTCTCCAACGTTTCACATAGTTATTTTATTGTTGTATTCATACCTGCTACCAATACATTTCCATTTCAAATACAGTAATGGTAGCAATGACAAAGCTTTTAAATGACAAATACATGTGCTTTGTTTTACTCCTTTAGTCCATAGCCTCTGTTTAGGGATGAAAATATAAATACAGTGAAGTGGAATTTAATATAATTAAGCACTATTTGATTGTAGGAGAGCTCTTCATTCATTAGATGCCTATTTGAATACCTCTAGATGCAGCAGAACAGTGCTGTTGTTGTCAACAGACGTGTGTGTGTGTGTGTGTGTGTGTGTGTGTGTGTGTGTGCTTAGGTTTATGGCCCTGTGGTGCAGTCGGGGTGAAAGAGAGGCCAGCCCATCTGTAGGAGCATTAGATGTCTGATTCCTTATTTTTCCTTCAGGATAGATAAAAAACGAAAAATGGGAGCAGTTGGCATCCTTTCCTGATAGTCTGAGTACAACAATGTCATACACAGTGCTCCACATGAAGATTCTTAACATGCTCTGGGACTGGCTAAGAGTTCAGCCTGAAAAACGTCTCTTTTCCAAGCCACTATTCTCACCTTTAATTACACCCCTCATGTCTCAGGCCCGTGGCCAAAACTAGTGGAGTATCCATGTACTTCTGCTTGAAAATGCTTTCGAGTGTGGACAGTAAACAATGGGACATTGGCTCATCTTTGAACTGAAAACTTCAGGGGAAGTTTGACTGAATTTGTTCATTGTAAGTGAGCCGTGATTATTACCAAGGTAAAGAAAGAGTAGATGGAACAACAGAAATGCTGCAGAGGGCCTGTGTGTGTGTCTCGTCCCATTTTTTACAAAACATTTCTATTAAAAAGAAGTTCCCATTCAACTATAACAGTTATGAATCTTAATCTTCAGTATGTTTGTCTTTCTGTCTCTGTATTGAACCTCCTCTCATTCACTCCAGCCACTGATGTGTGATACATGCATCCCATAACATTGTATCAAAGGAAATAAAACATCTTTTTTTGAGAAATCTTTATTATATGATTAGGAAAAAAAATGTTTTAAATCCAATCCCTAAAAAGTCTGATATACAGTGGAATGCACCACCCCCAATCCCAACAGAAAGCCTAATAAAGGCAGAAAACCTGAACAATTTCCTCTCCTGAACAGACGAGGAAGCACACACTCAGCAGACCCCATCGTGCACCGCCCCGTGTGTGAAGACAGGAAGTGAACAGGGAATCATCAATACTTTTGTGCCATGTGCATCCAGATACTGCGATAACAACACACAAAATTCTAAATCACCTATGGATTACACACCAGACAATTGAGAGGAACAGAACAACAACAAAGAAGTTTGAAAACCTTAAATCCATGTGCTTCTGACCCATTCTGAAGTGAGTTCTCTATCATTTTCTTTAGTTAACCTTAAAATCTTAAATGCTCATAGTTGAAGTATAGAAAATTATTTTTTCAACAAAGTACCACACAAATTTACTACAAAAACCCATATTACTGCCTTTAAAGAGCAAAAGTAACAGCAACCTGAAAGAGTGGGTTTGTTTCTTTTTGCCACAAACTCAGAGGGAGACTCTTGTTTTCCTCCCGTTTCCTCATTAGCTGTGCTGTGGCTCACTCTGGTGGTGAACTGAAACATTGTGGGTTGAAAACTAAAGGCAAAAAACCCTGAGCGTGACAGGCTGCGTCACAGGAAACGCCTAACAAGCAGCTTTTCTAACCCCAGTTCCAAACATTTTGTCATACCGAGTAAAAAACAGCTGAAAGTGAGTGCAATTATTCGCAAATCTCACAAACTGAAGCTTCGTACGAAACACAGTGAACTCCCCATCTTATGTATCAATTTTATGGTTGTAAAGAAAATGCTGTGGTAACATATGGCAACAAATCCGTTTTACAGGAGAAGGTCAGCGGTACGATTGGACGTAAAACAGAGAGCCAGTCCATCAAATATTTGCACAAAGCCGTATCTTTACCTTTCATGATGTTTTCAATTTCATCTCTTCTATTCTACAAGATATCAAAGATTCACAGGATCAGGATACATTTGGAGCATGGGACATGTAAGAAAGCCAGTTTAAAAATAAAGCCCTCCTTGGCCACCAGGTGGCACTGCGTAAACATCCGGCTCCATCACGGGCTCCAGGACCCTTCCAGGAACCAGCAGCAGCTGGACTGACCCATCTGCTGTCCAGACACTTCAGCCACTGAAAACACGAGAATCAGCAGGCGATCGTGTCCGATAATTTTTCTACAATCTGTTCTAAATAAAATATTTGTGTGTGGGCTCTGTAGGCCACATTATGCCCTATTATTGCTATCTTTTGGAATTTGTGTTGTACAATGCTTACTGAATGTGAAAGAGCTCAGCACTGAACTCCTTCTCTGATCCTCTGCCAGTACCATTTCATCTGGGACTGCGCGGTTGTCATAAACGCGATGACCCTCGAGAGGCTGCAGCTGCTTAGAGGGTGCTGAGGCTTTACCTGAAACATGCTTTGGTCGGGCACCTCAGTCGGGGAAACACCCAGCTTTTTCAGACACATGCCCAGGTAGGCATCTTCAATAAAAATCGGTTTGATCTGGGGAGATGCCTTCAAGATTTTCCCGGGAAGGTCCAAAGACATGATGTAAGCCATCCCCAATGGATAAGGGGGATACTCTGAGTCGGGAAACACGTCTCTCGGCAAGTAAAACTTGTCAAAGGGGTTTCTTAACACAGGGCTGTGCCACCATATCAAACCCGTCATGTAGTTTTCTTTGGCTGTGTTATGATCCATTAACAATTTAACTAAATTCTGGACATGAAGTACTACGTCCGAATCAACCTTCATGACGAAGGAGGCCTTAGCACAGTGCTGAACCAGCCACTCCAGCATGACCATGGTCTTGATGGTCAAGTTGCGATAGCTGTCGTGGAAACTGCTCTGGATGATGTCATGATGCCGCTCGTTCTCTTTTTTTAGCTCTCCCATCTGCTCGCCGTCACCAGGTAGGCCAACTATAAAGAGAGTCTCAACCAGCTGGTCAAGAACCCTTCTCTCCTGCCCCCATGTATTTCTGATAAGGTCCCGGGAAGCCACGTCCAGGGGTGCAACCGGAACCATGATGACCAGGAAAGGAGTCGTTGTCCTACACGTCGTAGTATCGTCCATGATGAATTTGTAATTGCGTGGATAGGCCACATGATAAGGCCCCGGTTCCTCCCACTGTGGGTCCGCCGATGAGGAGTTAAATGATGTCGGTTTGAAGAAATGTTTGTACAGGAGGGCCTTCCACAGCACTCTTCTGTCACAAATTTCAAGTATTACAAGTAAGACGAGTGCCAACAGGATGAGGAGCAAGAACTGGTTTTGGTATCTTCCGCACTCCATGAAAACTAAACAGGAAGAGAAAATAAGACTCATGTTAGCACAACAGCAAGAGTGATCTGGTCTAAATCAAACTCCATTTCTATCTAATCAACACGTGGCTACAATCAAAGCCACAGCATTTAACCATGTTTTTAATCTCCCCAGCAAGATCGAAAGTTAAAAATCCTAAACGCAACTACCTTTTTTTGTGTTTTATAAATGTCGGTCAGTACATCCTGTCTGCCGTTTTGTGCATAACTAGAAAAAAAAATCCTTTGTGAAAATGCCGCAGTTTTAAACATGATACGTGTTACTTTTTATTTCTCTGTAAAATTCAAAGCAGTTTATGTTTACGCAGATCATTTGCTCATATCTGCTTCAGACGGCTCATATCTTTGAATGACCAAAATTCGGAAAGTCTAAAAATGAACATAGTTGAGCTTCAGAACCAGTTTTAATACCTTAACCTTTGCAAATCCCTCCCATATGTCAAATCCCTATATGACGCACCAAACTGCTCTGATTGTACAGAAATCTGCATCACTATTTGTTAGCCGCAGAACCTAGTCGGCAAGGCCTAATCTCCACGGCTCCGTCATCATTAGGATAAGATAGCCCTTTTAAAGCTTGGTCACTTGCGCTTGTATCTCTGCGAACAGTGAATGGTAAGCATTCTAATGGTACATGCACAATAACAAATCATAGTTGAACAATTTGCTCCTGTCCAGGACAGATAACAGTAAGTACTGTGAAAGTACGCGAGTCATATTTAAACAATCATATCTATGATGATTCCTCTACAAGACACAGTAGAAGAAGAACCATTCATGTGCATATTTATTGTTTCTGTCTGTCCATACAATGTACCCAAAGTAATCCAAAGAAATTACTGAAAACCATTTTACATAAAAAAGAAAATTTACATTTCAAATCTATTTTAGAGCATATTTATTCATCTAGACAGAGGGCATTTATCCATAAAAGCATTCTCTTATATTTTATCAGTTAAGTGTGTTTAGCACAAGTTTGCTACTGGAGCAAAACATTTAGATGGTTATCTGGAAATGGCATGTCTTTGCAGCCAACAGCTTTCGGTTTTTTCATTGTCCAAATCTGAGTCATTACACCTTTTACCCGTCGCTTCACAGATGTAATATTGTAATGATTGAATCTGAAAAAAGACACTGGGAACATTGAACACACAAACATCCCGTTATTGTCCTGACGTACCACCGTTTCCTTCCTCTTTGAGCCCAGACTAATACGCCTACTTTTTCACTGACCTTTTTTGCCCCCTTCATTCATGATTACAAATCTAAACGAATGTTTCCTCAGTTGCCATTTCATTTCTCTTTTGGATCAAACAAAAACTAAAAGCACATACACACGAGTACATATCTCAACGTAGAGACAGTTTCAGTTTAACAGACCTACATTTTGGACTTCAAATAGGACTTCAAACAGTACAATTTAGGTGGGCTAAGGTAAAACACACACAAAACACACTTAATCCTTCTCAATGCTTAAATTGCAATACATTATTTTGATTATGCAGCGAGGACAATTCTATTATAGGCTACTTATAATGATAATAATACTTCTGGGGATGGAGGGCGGATAGATACACATATAAATGACTCATTACTGGATTTGTAAAACTTCACAAAACATCTGAACTTGAGTGAGCTTCTAAAAGCCTCCTACGCAAACGGATGCGCACACATGTCCGGGTACTACATGGTGCGTTTAAGGTCACAGACCAGCGGCCACCCAAGTCAAACTCGGACGTGGACATATAGCCAACTATTAGCCGTTTTTTTCTTTCAGACGTAGTCGCTTTAAGGTTATATTTCCTAAATAAATAAAAACTCTCTGTATTTGTAAAGTTTAGACACTCGTCGCCGTACCTGCGGCTGTCGGCGAACGAGGAAGCGGCGGAACCGCTCCTCGGTTCGGCCCCCGGTCCCGTCCTCAAACCTACCACCTGATTCCGTCCCTAAAAATAATGCTTTGTCAAACAGTAAAACTTTTTGGCCTGTCGCAAAGCCTCCACCGACCCCGACTACCACATTCCAGGTGTGTCTTCGTCATCTCTTTCTAAGCTCCTCTGCTCTCTGTCGGCTGCTTCCGTCTAAACCCGCTCTCACGTGGACGGAAAAAAAAACAAAAAGAAAAACCAATGACAGTACTTGTACTTAAGGGACTGTGAATAGTCCCAGTCCCGGTCCCGGTCCCAGTCCCGGTCCAGGTTCCAGTCCCGGTCCTGGTCCAGGTCCAGGTCCAGGGTTCCCCCTGGGACTTGAACCCACCACCCTCTTGCTGTGAGGTGATGGATTAAAAGTTATCTTTAGTTTCATCCAAAATATAAGTCATTTTTGTGTGATTTAAACTCAACAGGTAAAAAAGAAAAGGAAAAAAATCATTTAAATCACGACTGCAGTCTTGTTGAATAAAGTTACTATGTCTTAACGTGAGAATACCTTGCACATCGCTTCAGGCAAGTGTTCAACATACCCCAAAAAACACACCTGTTTGTTCAGTCACTTTTGGCATTTCCCTTCTGATAATCTACCCCGTAGCAAAGATTGTAATCTAGTTGGGGATTTTCCGGTTTCCAGCTCCGCAGATACAACATCCCATTTTAAATATAGTGTATTCAGGCTTTTTAATTTTTTTCCTACACCACAAATGTGACGTTGTAACCCACCCACACGAGGGTACTCTGGGAGGGATGAAATGTGCTCCATCTCCTTTATCTTTGAGCACAATAAACCAATGTTTAAATAGGGTAATTTCTAGTTTCAGGTGTCTTCCCCCCTCTGGGGATTGGCCTATATTCAAAGGACGCAAGTGTTTCACTTTAATACTTCAGTGGTTGAATTAAACCTGTCATTATTTAGGAAGCCAACACGTTAAGGTTCTCCCTTAAAAACTGTACTGTAACATGTATTTCTTTTTAGTGATGTCACATAGAAAGTGATTAGTGATTATCACATAGAAATTCTCAAATCCTGCAGATAGTCCTTTCTTTACATTGTCAGACGTAACTCCGGGTTAACCCTCTAAGCCGGGGTTATCAAACCCAGGCATCCGAAAGTGGAGTTACTCGGTACTAGGAAACAAGTTATGCGGTTGATTGGTTGAACCTGTGCAAACTTAGCTGGAGTATGTGCGCACTCACATAAAACACTGAAAAAGAATGACTGTCATAAAAATGTCTTTATGGAAAATTCAACACATCGACTGCTGTTTTGTTTAATTTTTTATCTTCATATGTGCATCGAACCTGCGTTGATTATCCACCTGTAGAATGTATGAAATTCGGGGATAAGAGAATTACAGACTTTGAATTACTAAGGGCCAGAGGCAACAGGAGGCAGCTGTGGGCATATATGTGAGGTTATTTTTCCTAAATGGGCTGCCTTGACTGTACGAGTGTTCAACCATATTCCAAATCCTGCGAATATTTCAGATGCAATAGCAGTGCCAAATGCACCTGGCAGCAGGTGAGGATGAAATACAACAACATCTTTCAGAGTGGTACGTTTTCTTCTCATAGCTTGTATTGCATACACAAAGGCATACAACTTAATTGTGTCTTTCCTTAAAAACAGATGTATTGTCCTTATCCTGTTACATTTTTGTCGTTTTATGTGGAGTCTTAAAAATAGATAAAAATAAGTTGAGACATTTTTTTTTAAGTAATACACCATATTCTCTCAAACCATATTACTTGTACTGTGTAACTATAAATGTTATTTATTTGTGGTGGAAAAGATGCTAATGCTGCGTGATTGATATATCTTGGATAAGAAACATCGATAACAGACTCAAATGAGGGAAAACGGCAATTGCATCTTACAGGTTGCATAGGCTTCACATGGCAAGTTCATGCAATCAAAGTCAAGTAAGTGAATTGCACTTCACTAGACACTGGATTTGAAAAATCCTCAACCCTTTATAAACAACAGACATTTGAATGCACATATTTATCCCTTCCCGGTTCATAGTCAAGTTACAGTTTGCACATAAGCAAGATAATGGCAGAGCAGAGCTGTAGATCTTTTAATTTAAAGGCTATGCAAATAAGACACCTAATTTGCAAGTATAGTTTCTACTAAGAGCTGTGAAGAACACACCATATTTCCACTTGTTTCCTTCCTCAGCAACAGTGTAGAGGGAAGAAAACAAAACACAATTGAAACATTGTTTCATTGTAACTAGGTGCATTTTCTTGACAAAGATAACGTCATTCTTGAACTTATGACTTATTCAGTAAAGTTGTGTGCATACAGATCATGTCAAGATTAGAAGCAGATAGATTTTAAACATATGAACACTGCCTTCATGGGCCTCTGGTAAATTGGAATTACGGATTCCCATTGTTTCCATGAAAGCATATCTCTTTGCCAATTGTCAGTACATTAAAAGTCATTGAACAACATCTTTACAGTAATCTTAACAGTTCCTGTTAAGATTGGTGAAACATTTTTTATCTAACCTTTTGCATCCACGAAAAAACTACCATTAGCTTAAAAACATTGGTTTTTAATCTTATAGGGACTAGAACGCCCCCATTCCCTTAAACCTTCTAGGTGTCAGGGTTGAAGGCTGTTGGTAGCTGTCGAGGGTCAATCTTGATGGAGAAAATTGTTCTTTTTTTAGGATCAGGTGGGGTTTTAAAATATCAACTTGAAGGACTACTGCTGAAAAAGGCTATTTGGTACATTTTATTCCAACAAAACTTTTTTTTTCTTAACATAGAAGGACAAACATACATGGGATGAACAAACTTTTAAATATATATTATAAAGCTGTAATTATAATATCGTTTTGTTCTTTAATGTAAAACCATTTACATTTATCCTCAAAATAAAATTAAGCCAATACAATAGAGCATTTTTTCTGATATGTAATGCTAAATTGATACATTGATCCTTTTTTTTTTTTTTAGCTTCAAATCTCCTTTTTTTTCACCCACCACAAGAAATGAATATCAACAGCGCATTGTTGAACATTTCTTAAAAAATGCCTCAACCAAATAAATCTCAAAAAATAAAGAGCCAGAGTAAACCCTGCAATAAGTTAAAACCTCCCTCACCTTGAACATACGTTATTGCGTCATTCTAAGACAGTGTATTAACAATATGGTCCAGGCATCTTCAGGTCCTTCCAATAGTTCACCAACTCTTGTGAAGAGCCGAGAATGTATGTGATGATCTTGGAGTACTCGCAGCGGTCGTATTTTGTGTTGTACGATTTGAACTGGGAAGGATCTGGTGGTGAAGTAGGTGAGAGCCCAAGGTTTTTCATGCACATTCCGATATAAGCATCCTCTATGTTAAAGGGCTTGATGGATTTTGAGACATCTACAAATTTTGCCGGAAGATCGTTGGAAAAGACGTATCCCATACCCAGAGTGTACGTCGGATAATAAGGATCAGGGAACATCTCCTCGGGAACGTACCACTTTGACTCCTTTGAACGGATAACTGGTCTGTTCCACATAAGCATTCCTGTCAAGTAGTTCGTCTTAGGAATCTCTGGTTTCTTTAGCATGATCACCAGATTGTCAATGTTCAGAAACATGTCGGAGTCAACCTTCATGGCGTAGGCTGCTGTGGAGCAGCGGGTGGCCAGCCAGTCCATGATCACCATAGTTTTAATCGTCAGATTGAGATAAGTGTCCAGGAAGTTGCTCTGGATCAGGTCATGGCTTTGTAAATTCTCCTCACGCAGCTTTTCAGCCTCATTTTCTCCAGAGGAACCCAACAAGAAGAGGGTGATCACCAGCTCGCCCTGAACAGTGTTGTTTTTGGCCCACGTCTGACGGATTGCCTCTCGAGCTGCAACGTCGCTTGGTCTTACCGGAACCATCAGCACCAGGAAAGGAATCTGTTCTTTACAAACGTCTGGGTGGTCCATTATAAACTGGTAGTTGTGGGGATAGGCTTGGTGGTACTGGATACCTTTAGGTCGTGCAGTAGTTGATTGTGTTGTTTTAGGAATTTTAGTTAGTACAGCTCTGTGGTTTGGATAGGTTCTATAAGCTGGTGGATTAAATTTATAGGTTGTGTTGAAAAGCATTTCATAGTACCTGCCCAGTTCGAATCTCTTCAACAGTGGCATATAGCTGTCAGATAGGGCCAAACAGAACACCAGGGCTATGAGACAAAGTATGAGCAGCAACTTGAACCAGGAGTGGAACATGGGATTCTTTAGACGCCGAGGGATCTCTACAAATAGTCTAAAAAGAGAAGGAAAAAAAATGCAAGTGAGTATGTTATTCATACTGACCTCAACAGCATATTCATAATAAGGAAAGGGTAATGTCACTTTTTATACCAATTTTAAATAGAAGAACAAGAGGACCACTGCATCTCAGTAAAAGGATGAGTGATGTTTAAAAACTTTCACATACAACAATTCCTTTAAGAATTGTGAAGGGCTGAAAAAATACAAAAAATGAAGACATGAATGTTCAAAAGACAAAGCATGACACTACCTTGCCACGTAATCACAACTGTTGAATTAAAGTGTCATTTCAACGCTACGTTTCTGACTCCCTACTCATTTCTTCTTTCATTTATACTAAAATTGCCTCATTTCCAACAAGTATATACACAGACCTCACTACAGTTGTGACAAGTGTTTGTGCCGGCTGATTTAATGTAACAAAAAAAACAAAAAAACTCAACAAACATCCATTTTACATCCTCATTTTCTGTGGTTTGCAAGTGCCTGATTTTCAATTGAAAGGGGAACTAATTCTTTAGTTTTTTTCCTTCCGTGTGTGTCTGCGTGTGTTTGACGTTTTGGGTATATCAAGTTACTGATACGAAACAGCAGAACAGAAGAAAAATAGTTATCTCTATATATGAACACCCATTGACACACTTATCAGTGTCAGTTTAGCTGGGAGATGTTATCAGTGGTGGGAGCTGTGGTGAGAAACACAGAAAACGGTAGCAGGTGTGACACAATCGCTTCAGGCCGTCTCACTGTAGGTGGCAGGGAGTAAAACAAAATAGCGTTCTGGGTATGTTCACTGCTTGCTCCTGCCTGTTGAGTACTTTACTTAGTTACCAAAGTGTGCTGCTACAACCCAATCCACTAAACACTCGCACTTCCTCATGTGTAAAGTTGCTTTCACAGGGGTAGTCAACACTAGCCCGGGTCACTGTCCTGCAGGTTTTACAGGTTTAGCTGCTTCAAAACACCTTTTTCTGCTCCCATCTAACTATCTAAAAGCCTTCTATCTGCACATGTATTCAGGTGTGCTGAAGCAGAAAACTTGTAAAACATGCAGGACAGGACGGTCTTACGCATTAATACCCTGTGGGAGGGGACAGGAAAACACACATTTCAATGTAGGCAAATTTGCCACAAAGGCTACAGCATATCCACAATATTATTTTTGCTTGGCATTTACTCCTTTTAGACTTGAATTAGTTTCATTTATTGCTTTTTCTTTAAAGAAAACATAATAAATGAATAAATAAAATCACATCTTGAAAACCAGGAGACCAACATGTATTTAGTATTTACAGTAGCCAAAAGGGAGACGGCTCTCTGGAGGGGGTGAAAACACAATAAAGGGCTCTGGAAAAGTTGAATATTTTATTGTTAAACGTACATGAGTCGATATTGATTCCTTAAATAGTAATTCCTTCATTAAGATTACTGTTTACATAATAGTTGAATCAAGATTGATACAGTTATGGTTGAAAACCTAACATTGATTCGACGTGCAAGTCACCGACAACTTTTGCTATAATTTCGATTTCAGGCCCCAACAATTATTTGAAATTTCGGGAAAACCAGATTTCAACGTTGATTCACTCAAAATTTGCTTGAAGTTATCGCTTCATTTGAAAACAATGTTGCGGAAAAATACAAAATACGCAGCAATTTACGCATCGAGTTTTCCGTTAATGATCATAGTCCCTTTGTGATTTGTGCATGATAGAATCATTGACGTGTGATAGGTGAAAGGAATTAAATATTGACTTATTCATCATCAGAGACGAGGCTTCCTGTAACGTTGAACTTCATCCGCGTTACAAACACGTTAGGCTTGACTGGCAATGATAGGAAATCCTTACCGTTTCGATCCATTTTCACCTGAGACCCAGGTTTCCCCCATGGCTTCCAGGGTGTCTTTTCGTGTTTGGTTGTTTGCTCTTTGAAATTTTATCTTCAGTTCTCACCTCCGGGAAAAGTACAACCTAATCACTGGAATGACATGGCCACCAATTTCTAACGCGCGGGGCAACTTGGCATCGCATCTGCTAGATTCGTTTATCGCCCTGGAGCGCTTGGAGGAAGTGGATAAGGAAAGGAACCGCATGATGGCCTCAAATAATTCTTTGTCAAGGAGTTTCGCGTGTTCATTTGTCTCACTTGCTGGACTGACAGACATTTTGGGCGTGCCAGTGTCTCCGCTATGACGAATCTACTGAAAGGACACTTTTCAACGACATGTCAGCCAACACGACGGGATTCTTGGGGAAAATGAAATGCATTCGTTTACGCGATTTCTTATAACCGTTGTGCATTTGAAACCTAAACCGATTTGATATTATGTCCCTGCATGGTTTATTTTTTTCTTTCATTCAGTCGCTTCTAGAGTGAGCAGGTGCTCAGATGCTGCAACAGGTTGTTCTTTAGCTCACACAGGCAAGTAAAAAAAAAAAAGTTGTTTCTAAAGTAATTTGGTGGATTTTCTGTTTCATGTCCACATTTCAAAATGAGAGTTAGGAACATACCCCTTGTTGTCAAGCCATGAAGCAGTGGAAAAAATGCCCATAATACTGAGTGAGGCAGGTTGACAGAAGAGAGAATTGAGGTTGATAAACTCACAGCCCTGATGATGATGAAGGGGGAGACTTAGCTCAAGTGCTGTGGTTCGCTTTTATATTCATGTGCCGCCTCCTGGTCAAGGGCTTCTGGTTTTTATGGGACTCTGAACTTTGGTCAGTCTGTCAGTGGTGTCACCCGAGGACGTGGACACAGTTCGGACCTGGTTTTATCCCACGGATGTTCTATTTTCTTGATTTGGATTTCGGCAGGGCCTTTTTGTCCGACCATACGTTTTTCAACGCAGCTCCAGCTGAGCGGTTCTCTGATGGTTCTCTTTTATAGGGTCACCGCAGCCCCCGCAGTCCCCAACGGTCCCCCACGATCCCCCACGATCCCCCAACACTGAGGGGTCGTTTATCGGTCTGTCCTGGAAGCTGCCAGCCATCACAGACTTGAGCCACCTGGAAGCTCAGGTTCTCATCAGACAGCCTAAGGCTGCTAAACCACTTGTGTCACTGAGATCATTTCAGTGAAGTTATGATCCCTTGAATTGTTGTCACCCTTGTGTTCTTTCCAACACACTGGCATTTGTTTTGAGTGCGTAAGAACCCGTTCTTATACCGCTTTCTTGTCTTGGAACAAATCTCTTTTCTTCTTCTTGTGGTGTCCTGTTCAGGTTACTCGGCTATTTGACAACCCCACGCCCTTTTCTTCTTTCTCTCTCCTTAGTTTAGAAAAACCTTCTGTCTTGTAATGAACCATCTGGCTTTTCGTGTGACATTGTTTCTCCCGGACCTCTAAAGGAGCTCTTCCCCACTCTGTGCTCTCTTATTCTCAGCTTAATTAGTAGCAACCTGACATCTGACCAGGTATTTAAGCATGCGGTTGTTCATCTTCTAAAAGAGCCTGGTCTGGAATAATTTATTTTAGCCAATTTTAGACCTGTCTCCTGTTTTGGGAGCTGTAGTCTTTTTTTCCTTGCACCTTTTGCTACTAGAGTTATTGTACACATTTAGGATCTAATTCTGCCTATACGACTGTCAAATCTGTTTCTCAAGCATTGTCATGCGCACTCGATTCAGGCCCTTTTTCATTATCTTAGTGATATCCCGTCATTAATGTCTTTTAATTACCTGAGTTTGTTTTGTTTTTTACCTTAGTTTTAATGCACGTAAAACTAAAGTGGTTTTATTTGGTCCCATTTTTTCCACCAGTGTCCCCTGTGCTGATGTCTATACACTGATCCCACTGCTCACGCCAACTTCTGTGTAAAAGTTAATGGTTCTTTTCTTTTTTTTTTCTTAGACGTCTTCCGAGATCAAACTTTTCCTTTCTAGGCGTTTTTGGAATTAGTCTTCCACTCCTCTCTAACCTTTACCTTGGATTACTGTGACTTGTTTAAACAAAAACAAAAAAAACAGCTCAGCCTGTCAACCGTTGAGGTGGTAGTTACTAACAGGCCCAATATGATGCAACATGCTTTCTAACAGTGGAGTTTTATGTGTTTTTTTGCCAACCTGTATTTTATCTGATGTGCAACACACGGATCAAATGGGAGTTGTGTTTTAAAGTACTATATAAATCAACATTTTGTGGTATGCCTGACATGTGAGTGCAGATATTGAATATGCAGAAAAGGTGTCTCAATTGATCAGTAAGTTGCTCATTCCTTCCCCGGCAATATGAACTGAAGGGTCAATTAGACATTTTTCCGGCTAGATACCTTTCTTTTAAATGAAACGATTGTTGTTTTACTCGGACCTTTTGAAACCAGAAATGGTATGGCAAACACCAGCTTCAATGTAAAGAGTCAACTTTGTTTCTGAAGCAAATAAGGACAAGCAGGCATTTAAGTCAGCCTCTGTTTTCTTATATCTCATACTTCTGTGGCTCAGACCACTTTTTTCGTTTGTTTTTTGTTACTCCTTTGAAATATTGCACTTACACTCATTAACACTGACAAGATATTGCCATAATGGACACGGGCTTTGGGTCCGAATGCAAATTCTTCCTGGAAGAAACTTGCAGAACCAGTTTAACCATTAGTGTGCCACATGGGCCGAAGCACAGGTAATTTGAGAGGACATGTCCTCAAAAAAGACCAGAACATATTGCTATACTCTAAAGTAAAAGTAAAGTGATGAGGCAGGGAAAACATGTAAAACCTGTCAAGCAGTGGTCCCCAGGGGTCGGCCTTGGACACCCCTGCTCTAAAATTGCTCATATGAGAACATAAACGTCACACAGGGTAAATAATACACAGATGGCTGACAGAAAGCTTTGGATTTTTTTTTCTCATGGGTTTATTGACAAACCATCAAAGTCACACCAACCGACAATACCGACATCCATTCAGTTTTGCAGTGGCCCTGATGTACATATAACATCCATTGTCAAGTTGTTAACAGATTTTAAAATGGTGCAAAAATCCTATTTACACTCATTATGCCTGCATACATGTCTTCATACACTGAGTCATATATTTCAATTGGAATACAAGGCACTTCAACGTCACTGAAATGCTGAAAAGTCAATGTGCAAAATGAGAATACAAGTGGAATCAACATAGATACTGGCCAGATGTGGCCATTGTCAAAAAGTTCCCCTTACAAATGCCACAAAGAGGACCTTGTAGCCCTCTGGGTCAATGTTTTAGTTCTACCGGTACCATAAGTCACCTGCTTTATATGCCAGAACTGATAATGACGATAAAACTCAATCTACATATTCATTTTGTAACTTTAAACAAAATAAATGTTGTCTTACCAGCTAAACCTGAGCAACTGTATGTCCAGAAACAATAACTTACATCCTGTAATGTGTAACTATGTAAAATGGTTTTATGCCATTTTTATTGTTTTTCTTGAACAGACCGCATAGAGTTCTTTCTCAATTGGTTTTGTCTTGTGCATTTTATTTGCATCTTAGAATTAAGCAAATGTGTACTGACACACACCTTTGTCTGCTTTGTTCGTGGTTAAAGATTCCTTAAAAGGCAGGGCTGATCCTGTTTGGATCATTGTCTTAAATGACTAATAGAGCAAGAAGTAAATGAATAAAATGCAAAAACTACAATGCAAATACAGGAGCTCATTTTAACCGGATTTCTTCTAGCGAAATAGCTGTGTGTACTGAATAACTTCTGAGTAAAGGTATTAGGTAAAACAAACAGAGACAGAGCAGCTAACAACCACACTGGCGTTTCACCAATAAAGGAGTGAGCTTCATACGTCCTAGTCTGTCAGATATGGCAGCCTTTGGGTTCCCTAAAGGGAGTCTATTACTTTGTTTGCCATTGACTTCTAAACTGAGGTGGGTAGTCTCATATACATCTAACTGATCACATACATCAGTTTTTGCTCAAAAATCCCCTTTCATTATGGAAAACCTTGAACAAATCATCAAGGAAATTGACCTAAGTCCATAACTGTGCACTCTTTTCATTTTGTTTCAAACATCCTCCAAACAGTTTTATTATTAATACTATCCTTTTCTTTCAGTGGCGATCTTCACTTTGTGAGAGAGAACAATATGTGAATAATGAAGGTAGACCTCCATAAAGTCTACAGTGTGCTCCCCAGAATTGATGTCCCCTATACTTTGGGTAAAAATACCTGGGTCAAACAACAATCAGTGGGGGTTGTCACAACCTGGTCTGACGGATATAATATTGGTAAAAAATATCTGCTGAAAATTAAATGAAAAGGAAATTCAATAAAAAGATTTCATTTCAATGAAATCTGGAAATGAAAAGGAGATTTATATTAGAATGTCAGTTCATCCAGAACATATTTTGTCCTACTTACATGATGTTTTCTACATTATTAGATTGATTGATTAGATTGATGTTGTTGTTTTAAGCTAAAACCTTCCATCATGTTCACAAAGATTAAATGGAAGAAGTAGAACTGTGAGTTTGTTCACTGCCATTTCAAAGATAACGGATTCAGTTTTTTTCTTTAAAGCAGAACAAACCATAACTAAGACGATCTATTCCGTGAAGACGGAGATCATAATAGGCTCCAAAAATATATAAGGGAAAAAAGGCACATTAGATGTATCCCACCACAGTGTTGCTCAGAGAAACTATTATTTCGAAGCCTGTGAACAATGGAGTAAAGATATCAACCAAATTCTTACTTTTGAAGTGCTATTTCAAAGCTTTTCTGAACTAGAAAAGTTGTGTTTGTGGACAATGAAAGGTATTTTTAGTCTTCCTGATGAACTGGATGAACTGACCATGTAAACTTAAAGACAACTAAATCATGGGAACCTTCTGTGCTCGTCAAATGCCATGGGATGACTCTTTGTTATGTTCTAAACAAAGAAACCCCTAGACACAAGAACCCAAATGCAAATCTTGAAAACAAATCCCACGTTTTAACTGACAACAGCTGGTTTGAGAAAGACGGGCCTCGATGGAAGAACCACCCAAGACAAGGAATCACTTCGTAAGGGCCCCACACCTGGAGATAGATTCAAAACTTTGCCATCTTCTCCTTCCTCTTCTTCCTCGTCGTCCTCTGGTTCCTTTCCTGTCATTTGCCCGAGACCAGCTCCCATCCTTACCATTGAGGCGGCTGAGAGTCCAAAGTGCAACAGTGCTGAGTCTGAGAGGCCCATCGGCCCCAGGCTGCCTCCTCCTCCACCCAAAGAAAAGAGTGGTGCTGCGTGATGACCCATGGCTCCAGAATGGCAGAGGGCAGAGAGCGGCAGGGAGCTCCCGAGACCCCCCAGGAGAGCTGCAGCAGCCCCGGGTATGATCACGTGAGTCCCTCTCACGGAGGGTAGTTCGGTGGCACTCCGGTGCCCAGGGAAACCCAACCCTGTCCCTGGTCTGCGGGGGGTACCTTGTTCCTGGGCAACAAAATGCCCATGAGCCTTGATGTGCTTGCGCAGGGAGCTGGGATCCGTGTAGCGCTTCAGACAGCCTGCCATCTTGCAGTAGTAAGGCTTGTCCACGTAGTGGGTGCGAGTGTGCTTGAAGCGGTCGCTGGAGTTGGAGTAGCGTTTGCTACAGCCTTCATATGGGCAAATGTAGGGCTTTTCCCCTAGAGAAAGAGACATAAAGTGATGTTAGGAAAAACGGAGGGACATCACCAGTGGGTGGATTAAATTCAATCTGAAAGAAGTAAAAGATAGGAACAATGTCTCTGTATCAAAGGTCAAAATGTTTATTCCGTCAGTGCTCAGACCTACGGTATAGACGAGTCTATACAGAACAATGGTACATTATCACACATTATGGGAGAGTTGAATAATGTGAGCCATGTTAAAGGTAAATAACATGCAATGCCAAAAATGCATATGCTATGAATGAGAGGCAGAAACAAATGTAATGATTACATTACTTACATTCTAAGTATGTAAGTGTATTGGTTTTGTGGTCAGCTACTGCTGTGTAAATAATTTTTATAACCACCTGATATCAGACCCTAGACTGACAGTAAAAATACAAATTCTCCAATAATTTACTGTCAGCAGTAGATGGTACCAACAATGATATTATCCCATCACTCACATTTGTGGTAATCTTTTACAATTTTGCATTTTTATGATGTTTTTCCATCAATGTATTATTTCGTGAAAGTGTTCATGTTATGTCTCTGATATAGTCCCGTTAATTTGTCTACAAAACCTTTGGCTCATTTGTAAGAAACATCAAAACGTATGCTGTCCATTTTAGTGGACATCTGGAAAAATACTTGAATAAACACTTTTTTTACTAAAATATGTCTTCACCTCTTTCTTTTTTTGTCTTCAGAAAGTCAAAAACACTTTGGGGGAGAAAATCCTGGCGTAAATGATCATAATTCATTAAATGGTTAACTTAACAGACGTGAATAGACTTAGGACTTTTTTTATCACAGCGTATTGAATCATAAAATCACTACACAGGATTACAAATAACTTGTACCGGATTTCCTCGGCGGCCAGTAAGCATTAACAGGTAAACAGTAGTTGAATGAACTAGAATAAACAACTGTTGTGCTTTAGAATGCGAATGGTGCAGGCTATACCTACAAAGAAGATAGAGTGCAGTGCAAAGGGCACACTGAAGCCTGTTTTTTGTCTCTGACAAAAGCAAGTTGGCGACTGAGCTTGCAGTCATCATTACACTGAAAATGGTAGACCCAGTGGCCTCCAAGAAGACAATGGAAAGCACATTCATACATCTTGAAGGTGTTGAAATGGAATGCATTGACACTAAAAACTCTATTCTTTTTGCTCACAGGTAGGAATGTGAATGGAATTTTGCTGCATAGACGGTGTTTCTTTCCATAGAGTTCCTGCGCAAATGTTGAAATTTCCTTTCTGGACTTTTTGCACAGTCCTTCTATCACCTGATAATGTGCTTTCGCTCGTTTCTATGAATAAACATGAGTCAAAAATCAACTTTGTCTACAGAGGTCGACAAGGCTCACTAATTCCCCTTATAGTCTCCCCTCTGTGCAGGGATAACTGCAAGAGTTACAATTTATAAAGAATTTATTTTAAAGACTCCTCCGTTTCAATGAATAAAAGAAGACAGGAGCTGGTTTCCATCAGGTTTTATGTTTTAAAACATTTAACTTTCAAGTTAAACCTTAAATGAACTGTTCAAATTCCCAGAAGCATTAAATTTTCCTCCAAACGCCCCGGAAACTCTAGGTCCAATGATCCGTTATAAATTTACCATTGTTAATTCACTACAGCATAAAAGCCCCTTCCTGTCTCTAAGCCACACCTTTTACAGACTCTTTCCTGTTCTTTAGGAAAAATTCATTTGCATAAATTCCTGTAATTTCTCAGCCACAAACCAGTTACCATTTGTGCCTGAAGTTTTAGAAACAGATGTGTTTCGTGATGCTTTTGAACTGATTACAGTATATGTTCAGTATAGTGGTCATTTTCCTCCTTTTTTCTTTACCCTCTGAGCAATAACACATTTTGTCCTGGAGACTGCCGGCTGGTTCAGGGTGTTGAGTGGGGTAAAATTGGTAAAATGGTACTGTCTTTGAAACTATAAGTTTTTCTGAATTTGTCTCGGCAAATCTCCCCCGTAAGTGGGTAAGTCGGAGGTTTAACTGCTCCTCCCCTGCTCTCTGTTAAAGGAGGTTTACAGAATGGAACAAGGCTTTTTCCTGCAGGGCAGCTTGGTATGTGGTATGCTTTCCAAAAATGTCTTATCGCTCACTTCCTCAGATGGAGTAAGACTCTTATTTCGAATGAAAATTTCCACCACAGTTCACACCTCGCAGATATACAGAGGTCAACAAAACCCAATGATTCCTCATGGAACCCCAGTAAAGCGTTTCACAAGGAGCTGCTAAAGCTGACGGAAGGAAAGAAACAGCCTAAGCTGTCCAGCAGTTCCTGTCAGCTGTAAAGAAGAATGTTTACCTCCTTAAATACATTGACTGTTTTTGAGATGTACTTGTTAAAATATTTTAAAATACTTTTTGTGACTTAATTGCTCACTAGTGTAATTTCATATTTTTGACAGAAAAGACTAAACTATCTCAGGCCTCTGATACTTAGATGGTAGTTGTTGTTTTTCTTTTGTTTTTTAATCATAGCAAATATCTATTTTTTGTCATGTTATTGTGAATGGTGAACTCACCTGTGTGTGAGCGTGTGTGAATCTTCAGATTTTCCAGCCGTGAGAAGCTCTTGTTACAAGTAGGGCAGTGGTGCGGCTTCTCGTTGGTGTGTGTGCGGATGTGAATCAACATTTTGTACCTAGAAAACAAATTCCATTAAACAAAGCCTCCCACCGTAAGCTTAGGTGTATATTTACTGAGACTTAGATGTGTGTTACCAAAGTTATTCCTTGAACCTATATTTGCACCATCTGGGACTTTGTTGTTATAGTTGATAAATATACATCAACTTTATTTATTTCTTCCATTGTAAATGTTGATGTGGGATTTTCTTATTCTATGTAAATTGGTTTAACACATAAATTGTCTAACAAAAAAAACCACACCACACCCAAACTGTGCAAACAAAAGCAGAACGATTATTCCACTCCCAAACAGGGATTGCCACAACAAAAGGAAGGTGTCATGAAATCTCTTCTTCACTGACGCACACAGTACCTGGCGTTAAAGCCCCTCCCATTTCGTGCACAGCCTTCCCACTGGCAACAGTAACCAGACTCCTTCTCTGGCTTGACGTGGAAGTCGTTGATGTGATCTACCAGATCCTGCAGCGAGTCAAACAGCAGGTAGCACTGGAAAACAGGCACAGACAGAGCCGAGATCACTTCATAAGATGGCACGAAGTGAAAAACGTTACCCGTCCAAAGAAATCCGCCAACAAAAAAAAAGGATTTTGTTACGACCAAAGTTTTTACAATCCCTCATTTTGAACACCGTGATCTAACTAATGTTTTCACTAGGCTTTAAACAAACAACAGCTTTAGCTGTTTGCACAATAGTTCACTATATTAGTTAGTCCACATTTTCTAAAACATCACCATCTGGAATGGCTCTGTCAAAATATTCAAGGTACTTTTGCCAAGGGCATCAATGTACTGCTGAGAGTAAAAACACCGCACTGGTGAACTAACATAGACACTAGTTTCACGGGATGTGACGTACAGGGTAACATGGTCAAACTGGTGTTCACCCAGTGCTTCTTTCCACTTTAACTGGCTGCTGTTTATTTGCTCCTGGCTCCATCTAGTGGTCAAAGAAAACACTGCAACTTCTTTCCACAACCCACTGTCCTTTTCTCAAAGCCCAACTAAAGTGCTGTTGTGGCATCATAAACCTCACACTCCACAGCCTATGAAGTCATTTGTGAATCTTTAAAAATCATTCAATTAAAGGCTTGCATAGCGTACTGGACATTGACATCTGTATATACCTTCGTCCAGCGGCAGGCCAGCTGGCCATCCATGGAAGGCTCTGGGGACTTCTCTTTGTGTTGACCAATGATCATGGAAGATGGGAAGCTATAACACCTTGGTGGGCTTCTAAGCGGGAGATAAAACGGATAAACGTGCTGAGAAGCTCCACCTTCAACACCACGGTGATAAGCCATTTCCTAAAAAAAGAGGAGGATACGTTTTAGAAGTCGCAGCCAGATAAACCAGAACAGCGGTCACAAAAGATCCTTTAAATCTGTAACCTGAACTTTCAGCTAAAAGTTGCAATGTTGATGTTGAAAATTAAACCAGTTTGTGCTACAACAACAAAGAGTTTTGCATTCACACTTAACTCGCTTTTGACTATAGAGCTAATTCTGTAAATGAGAATCGAAGTTTATGTCAGACAGATAGGATTGGTAAAAAGTTTGAGCATATTCAGAGCTGTCAGAGAAGAGCGCATTTTTGGAAGTCAATTTGTTAGTTTTTTGGAAATAAAAACGTAATAAGACAAAACTTTAGTAAAATCTTTCACATCTCATATTCAACGTTTCTGAAAAGATTAATATTTTGGAAGCGATGACAGAGAGAGATGATCGAATATAAGTGATACATTCGAGGAACCACAATTCTCTATGATGAATGCAAATTCTTCTCTATCGACCTTTACAGAGGCATTTTACATGACAGAGATTTGACGTGTGAATCAGAATCAACTTTTCTTGACTAAATTAAAATCAACACAACCGGAATACATCAGACATTTGTTGGCCTGGTCATGGATAGATTTTTTCAGATTTGGTTATGAGCTGATAGTGATAAAAACAACAACTGATTCTTGATATGTTAGGGAAATACATCTGGGTATCCCTATTACATACCAGCCAGCTTGACATAGAACTGTCTTTACTAAAAAGAAAGGCTAATGAGTACACACAAACGTCTTGAATCCACATATGCTTGTTCACATCGGTCAGTACAAACAACTGTCCAAAAGATATCTTCAAACCTAATAAAGACGTTCAGTGATTGTGACAGTTTTAGAAAATCGGGGACTTTCAGGGCTAAAAGGATCTCAACAAAGACTGAGATCTACAGCTGTGATAAAATAAGATGTGTGTTTGATGTTTCACCTTTTGAGCGCGGCTAGAATTTGATTTGGACGGTCTCTGTGCGCCTATGAACAGACAAATTAGATTCACTCCCTGGATCCCAATTCAATTGGGCTCTGCTGAAGAAGAGTGAAGCGTATTCAGCTACAATTAGTGCCTGGTTGGATTAGTCTGAGTAGACTTTGGTCACCAAGATTCCCCAGATTAACTCATTATATAATGGCACACACCTACAGTTTTAGTGTATGAAACAGCTTAATCTTACTATCACAGTTCACATTTCTTTTCTGGCATGTTTCTTTTTCTTTGCCTCATCTAGCAGCAAGATTAGGCAACGTGTAGTGTAAGTACAAAGAAATGGTCCCTGATACTGTGCATATGCAAGTCTGACAGGTGCCGTGTGGGACGTTTAGTGGCCAGTGGTCAGTATTTGCAGTACGTTTTACTCATCACAACAAAGGCCCGGTAACGTTTGTTACCATCCGACTGAACGCCATCACAAAACAGAAATGTGGGCCTCTTCTTCATGTGGTGTTTCAGCAACTCAGAATGGTGATGAAACTTCATGTCTCGCCGAGCAACTCGGTGCACTGGGAATTCAATCTTTGGTCAAAGATCATAATTCTGTCCAAGCAACCATTTTAACTAGGTCAGCTCACCCTGGAGAAGATATGTGGTTGAGGGCTGCTGCTGTTGTGAGAGGATTCCAATGGTGAGGAGGGAGACGGGGAACATGGGGAGGAGGACGATGGAGAAAGAGAAGAGGCGTGGCGGGACGAGGGGGACAGGCTGAGGTCCATGGCTGGAGGAGTGTAGCAGGACCCGGGTTGTTCTTGAGAAGAAGACTGGGAATCTAGGTTGGAGATTTGAATAAACAAAAGGGATGTTGGAGGCTGTACTATGACATTTTTGACATTTTTGACATGGTTTTTGCTTTAGTTGTCCTGCAGATATCTTTTTTAATTTAGTTTTTGTTTCACTCTCCTTTTCTCTTTGAGCTAATCTTAAATAATTGCTGTCAGATTCGGCACACCTCATTACACTGTAAATGTGTTTTCAGTCCAGTATGAATTTTATCATTCACTTTTGTGTTGGCCTCTTTAAATTGAGTATTTTGTCAGAGCTAGCAGGAAACTCATAACACAAATATAAAAAATTATCTCAGTCAAAGAAACTTCACATTTTTCACATTATAGTAGCTCTTTTTTTTACTGGAACTGTGGATCCAGTAGTAAGACACATTCATTCCGTTTCTGGTGTTTTTACCTGTCTTTCTGTGTTTGTTCCAGTTTGCTCCACTGAAAGCTTTCACACAGAAAAGAGACAGGGAAGCCAAAGTTGAACATTTTAAGAAGGATTAGGAATACACACGGTAAAGAAATAAACAAAAGTGTCAGGCATTTCTCAGCACCTGGACTAACCCAAGGCTGGAGTCAAAAGTTGAATCCTTTCTGTGTTGGCTGTTTTTTTCCTTTCGGGTCACTTCATGTCAGAGTCATGCTCCTCTAATTATGTGCAACAGGGACTAATCTGAGGACAATCTATGTCTGTCTGACAGGAGAAAATGCTACCATTTATCGGATTTCCATGATTAGGTTACCGGGAAAGTGAGAACAGAGAATCAGCTTTTTACGCTATTGAATTATCGTGGTGTTAGGCTTAATCTCAGCTCCACTCAGCTCATCACTGACCTTCTGCTTGCCTCCTGCTGAAAACACGGTATGTTTCCTGTGGAACTTACCTGGTGAGGGCGGAGGTGATGGGAAGGTTGTACACTGTAGGCGCGGTTGTGTGGCGCTAATAGGGCCACAGATCAAGGAAGAGCGTGCCCTCTTTCCTAATATCACAGGACCGGCTCTGCGTCCGGAGGGAAGCTTCAAGTCCAGCGGCTCGTCCAGTGAAAGCATAGTGGCTGCCTGCGATGACCCACCTGAGACGGGAACGACAGGTAAACCAAATAAACAAATGTATTTGAGATCAAGAAATGTGCACCTTGGTCCCCTGAACATAGGAAGCTACATAACCCACTGTAGTACCAAAACAAGAAAAAAAAAGGTAGCATTATATATTTTTTCTTACACAATCAAATGATAAACATAACATATCAAGACATTCATTTTTACTAATTTAACATTGTAAAATAAAACTCAATAATATAAGGTTATATAAGCCGACAGTTTTTATTTAAGATTTTAAGTATTTTACCATATAAATAACATGTTTGTAGGAGTACCCACAGTGAAAAGTCACCTCTTCCTTCCCCCTTTCTCTCCTCCTGACAGGAATCCACAGTCCTTATGTGGGTGTTAACTGCTATAGGAGTTATATCCCTGCCCCAACAATGGGATGAGGCTGCTCTGATTCACAAGTTAAGTCACATGTCTGGTTACCAGCTATCAAAACAACTGCAAGCTATGGAATGTTGACCAGCCAGGGGGGAAAAAATATGTCTTTCCCATCCCTCAGCTGGTATTAGGGGCAGTTAGGCAAACAGAATTACTCAAATTATGTTTCTTAGTACAACTGAGCTGCTGGGGTTCAGTGAATTATTTTTTCTGGTGAGCAAACAGCTTGGCTAGGAGTTAAAACACATATAAAATTACACTACACTCAAGGGTGGATATGTCAAATTTTTACAGCCGTGGCAATATTTTATGTATTAATTAAGATTATTTTAAAGTGTGTATTTCTACAATCCTCCTAAATGTATTGATATAATCTAGTGTTAGAACGTCAAAGGCCGTGACAAATGGTTTGTACGCCATCATTCTGAGCTACCGCGGAGCACATTTCAGTGACGCCTGCACGCAAACCTTTTAGCCAATTCAGAGCATAATTTCCAGGGGGCTTTTTTAAAACTCATGAGACGTCACCTGGTGTTAGATGAGCTGAGAAGCAAACCCATTGGCTGGATGAGATTTTACAGCGTTGCTCTACTTGTGATGGTTTAACACAATGGATGAGGCATGAAACAAAAAGCTGTCCCAGTCTGTGACTCATCTTGTGTTCTTGTTAGACTAAATGACTCCAGACACAGATATTTGCTTCAAAGAAAGACTCTCTCTGGAGGAAACCGAAGAGAGGAAACTCTGCAGTGAAGTGGATGAAACCTGCTGGGAAATTCTCCACAGCTGCTGGGAAAATTTGACCCAGAACACAGGAGGTTTCACACTTGAGAGATGCCAGGCAAACCCCCCGTCGCGTTTACTTCTATACTATTCCTCTAAGTCTAATGACGGCCCACTTAATCCTCGCATGGTCAGTATTTTTTATGAAAGACAGAACGTCACCACTAAAAAGTAAGAGCAAGGTCAACATTTTCAGGACAGGGAAACCAAATGTGGCAGGTAAGTGAGGTTGACTATGCATAGTTAGCCAAAACGCTGTGCTAATGAGACCACTTTGCATCTGTTTCTTTACCAATCTGGTAGAAAGGAATTTTTCTGCTGTGTACTACACGAAAAAAGTAAAAGTAACCTCACAGCTTTCCTTTACAAACTGTTATTTGCCCTTATAGGCCACAGTAACTGACGACACATATACCACAATTGAACGGACTCCCACAAAGAAATTTGTAAATCTATCCTAAAACACATCTAAGTTGCCCCCTTAAATAATTCGTATGATGTCACCACTGGAAATATCATTGCAATTAAGCAAAAATCCAAACAATGCTGACAAACTCTTGAAAATGCAATAACAATATAGTGGACAGAAAAAGCTAAATCTCATGAAACTCCATTTAGACTTTTATTGAACATAAAAAGCCTGTAGAGAGGGAGAAGACTCGCTGGAAACGGGTGTGTATGTGATGTCAACATCCTGTGTTGATGTTAAAATAATAATTTACAGCTGTTTCGCAAACAAAACAAATCACAGTGGGCTATTATCCCCCCAGTAGATCCAATCTACCACCAGACACGTATATAATGTTTCTCTAATGGTTGTTGGCAAAAACTAAATCAATTGGGAAAAAAACTGCTTTGTAGAGAGTAAAATCTTGTAATACCACAATCCACTTGCTGTGCCTTTTCTGGTGTGCACAGACCTAACAGAGGTGGGGTAGTTAAGAGCGGGATAGTTGCATCCCTTTTTAGTGAAGCATGAAAAACCACGCCTGATCCATCTTACACTCAGAAGTCGATTCAGCTCTCAGACCGCATCCGCTGCCAGCCCTTAGGAGCAGACTCTTTGCCATCTCATTCCTTCTTGCTACTAGCCAGATCAGCAATGTGCAGCATAGGTGCAACACTCCCACTTCACCAACATGTCTTAAAGCACAAATAGGAGATTGTGGCAGATTTTACTGACCAGCCCGCAACAAGAAGTCAACTTTAACCCCATTTTCTTTTGTTTTCTTTAGGCAAAACTGTTTAACAAATCTTTTCAGCGGAATTCTTTGTTTTACTTTAAACCGTGCCCCCAGAACTGTTTTCAGACATGATTTTCTGGACAGCAGTTCTCACTCTCTGTCTTAACCTCTGGGGGAACTCTTAAATGGCGCCAGACGTTGGTTGCGAGTACTTTTGTGACACAACTGCAAAACCTCAATTGGGTGTCTCGCTGTATGGCTCTTTAATGACATCTGGCAGTGAGTGAATCCTTGATTTACTCTCACTGGCCGGACTCAAACCGGCGAGCTTCGAGCTACATGTACACCTCTTTAACTTCCAAACTCACTGTCGCCGCAAATTCTTCCACAATCACTGACACGATTCCCCGACATAATATAAGGCAGAGGCTAAACCACAATGAAGTCAGTGTTTAGGTCCTGCTGCCGGCCTGCCAGCTACCTCACCACACGGGTTTCTCATTCCACAGCAGCCTCGCTAACTTCTCTCACACATGCTCCCATGCATGTGGCTATTTGGAGGGAATTGTGAAGGCACGCACGTACAGGACCACATGCGGGCTCACATGCAGACTGAGGATCACACCAGAAGACATCCCGACCTCCACCGGCTCCTCCCACTTTTTTTTTTTTCCCAATGACCTGTGATTTGGGAAAGATGCCTGGACCCCCTTATGGGTCCCCCCACCCGCCTAACAAAACACATACTTTGACTATTTACAGTCTTGCTCTCAAACATATGTGCACACACAGTCACAGAGTGCATTTTCCAAACAGATGTTAGGGGAAGGACTTATCCACTCGGTCACTCGCAAATGTCTTTTTAGACTGAAAAGCCCCTAACGCCAGTTTTATTCAAGGTTTTTAAAAAAAAAAAGACTTCTGAAGTGGTGACAATAAGCTAAATTGTCCTCTTTAGTCGAAAAAGTCCTCACTGCAATGTTTTCCAGGAAAAAGTCAGTATTTTCAGAGTACATACACTGTAGTGTAGATATGGCCACACCCATACTCTGAAAATAGTTTTTAATAGTTTTATTCATGTTCCTACACCCGTGTAAAAAGGACCATTAGTCCCAACTGAAACACAGCACGTTACTGAGCATCTGTGCCTTTAATAAACTTGTGTTAATAAACTCGAAACATGCATAATAACCCTTATGACAAACTCACATCCACGCTGTTAAAGTGCATTTTCTACCCCCCAGGTGTGACACGCAGAAACACACGCACACACACACATCTGGGAGGCTCTCCTCCTCTCACAGGAAACATTTGCTTCCACAGTGCCCTGATCTGGCCTCTCCCTCCCAGTTATTTTTTTTTACTCCCCTCCCTCTCCTCATCCCTCCCTCTAACTCCTTCCTGTGGTTTTCCTCTCCTAGTTCTCCAGCAGAGCATACCTCTCCTGTTGCCTGCACCTCCCTCTCCTTTTTTTTCTCCCTCACATTTTTGTTCTCCATTGCATTTTCGAGCTCCCCTCTTTCATTTCTCTCAAGTTTTATTTTATTTTTGGCATGTACAGTTAAAGTGTCGTGCGTGGTCCTTGTTATGGTCCTTTGTGAAGGAGAAACTTTTTTTACTGTTCTTAAACAATTGTTTTGGAAATATTGCAAAGATGAGTAGTTACCGCAAGTCTGAGTGGGTGAGCTATACAAGCTGAGATTTTCCAGGGAGGAGAGGGGTGTTAAAGAAGAAGGGCAGTTGGATTGAGCCTTTCTTTCCAGTAAAAATATCAGCTCCCATATTTGGGGGGGGGGTGATACCCTTTGAACTGTCAAGCCGATGTCCTTTTAAGCTATTATGCAACATGGCTGCAATAGCAAGGATGACAGGAGGCTTTGTTTTTGTGAGCTGGAGGCACACAAAGCCACCAGGACAGACACTGCCAGTAAACTGGTTGTAAAAGGCTGAGGTGTATTCAGCAGAAATGCTGGACTGAGCTGAAACTGGACAGCTGCTGAGGAGCAGTAAACAAAAACAAAAACAAAAACACACTGCGGTTAGTGTTGAGTAGAGAAGTCGATGTCAGAAACACAAAAAAAAAAAGAATGGAAAATAAATCTCTCCTACATGTTTATGCCCTATTACACTCAGCTACGCCTAGGTGCTCTTCATATGATGCCTTCAATGTTTTGGAATTGTAGCATGGACATACAACCCAGTTCTGATACAAAGACAGCGGTCCGGTTTCGTGGCAGGGTCCAGTTCTATCGGGGGGCATGTCACCTGTGAATGCAACCGTGTTGAACTACTGTTTCATAGTGTGTCTGCTCTGGGTCTGCCCATTCCGGACAGTGAACATAAAAATGGTTTGGCCCACGGAGAAGGAGAGCCAGGAGAGGGGGAAAAATCCTGAAGCAGAAATCAGAAACTCTGGGAGTCAGACATGGGCTCCCACCCTTTCCTCTCCTAACACTCTTCCCATTATTTGTCTCGGTATTACCCCTACCCTCCCTCCCTCTCTCTCGGCCTCTCTTGCGTCTCGACAGCGTTAAGTGATGCAACTTTGCAGAGCGAGACTGCAATAGCCACCAGTGGAGCCTGTAGCGTCTCTCTCTCTGACACTGGCGTCTTCGCCACTTAGGAAG